GCGATTCATCCCCGTCCGCCTGAGTCGCCCGGAGATCCCAATAAAGTCGGTACCGGCCACCACGCGTCCTGCCTCATGTCTACTGGGGGCCTGCCTCCGTGGGTTGGGGTCCCACAACCAGGGGTCGCACAGTCTCGATCTCTTGACCTTGTGATCCACCTGCCTTGGCCTCCCAAAGTGCTGGGATTACAGGCTTGAGCCACCGCGCCCGGCCCTGAAAATACAATATTCTAAAGGCAGGATTCAGTTTGATTGATGGCTACATTGGAATACCTCGGGACAGAAGCACTCTCAAGTCTTTAGCTTAGTGTATTATCCTTAAGTGAGAATTAGCAGCCAGGGGTGGTCGCTCACGCCTGTAATCCAAACACTTTGGAGGCCAAGGTGGTTGGATCACCTGAGGTCGGGAGTTCAAGACCAGCTTGACCAACACGGTGAAACCCCATCTTAAAAAAAAAAAAAAGAATATAGAAAAAGAAAAAGAGGAAAAGAAAAAGAGAATTAGCAGCTTCCCAAGATTCTTTGACACTGAACAAGGAATGGGTGGTGCCAAAACTATTTTACCAATCTAAATAACTTGAATATGGTTAATTTCTCCAAAGGAGACTCATTTCTAATACCTGTTATGCTAATTAATAAGCCCAGAATTTTACCAATGCATTCATTATGCTAATTAGTAGAGCCTTGGAGTGGATGGAGATATGGATATTTGCACGCAATACTGAGCAATTGTTGCAGACTCTGCACGCCTCTGAACTCCCAGGTTCATTGACTTCGAGTTGGTAACTTAAAATCAGACATGGTGGAAGTATTTACATTATGGAAATTGGAATTCCCCACCCCACCTAATTTTTAAATATTTACCAGTACACCATTGGATAGCTGAGTGAGTGACCTCTGGAATGTGGCTTTCTGGTAAGATGTTGGCTGACAACCTTACCTTCATGACTGCTTCTGTACTAGTGATGCTTAATTTAGAAATTACCTGAAGGAGGCCAGGCGTGGTGGCTTAGGTCTGTAATCCCAGCACTTCGGGAGGCTGAGATGGATGGATGATTTGAGATCAGGAGTTCAAGAGCAGCCTGACCAACATGGTGAAACCCTATCTCTACTAAAATACAAAGATTAGCTGGGCGTGGTGGCAGGCGCCTGTAATCTCAGCTACTCGTGAGGCTGAAGCAGGAGAGTCACTTGAACCCAGATAGCAGAGGTTGCAGTGAGTCAAGATCACACCACTGCACTCCAGCCTGGGCAAGAGTGAGACTCCCTCTCAAAAAAATAAAAATAAAATATTACCTGGGGACTTTAAAAATAATACTGATTACCAGGTTCCTGTTGGTGGGGATTTTGACTTGACTGCAGTGGGGCTTGAATATGAGGATACATTTAAAGCTCACCAGGTGCTTCTAATCTGCAGCTAGGGCTGCCTTCACACCTGTGTGTCACACTATGCCACACATTTTAACAGTCCTACAAAAGGGAATGGCAAAACCAGGACTTGCACCAGGCCTGCTGGCCCCTAGCCCAGAGTTCCTGGCTAAAGGAGGAACAGTGGGAAACAGATTGCCATTTCTTCTGAGGTCTCAGTGTTTGCAAATGTAGTTCGGGGAGGAGCTCTAGTGCTTGGGGTCAGGGTCAGGGTTGCAGCTGGGGAGGGACAATGAAGGAGCCCAGGAAAGGCTGTGCCATCCTCAAAGAGCTCCAAGACTCTTTGTAGTGATGGTCTACCTCAAGGGCTTAGGGAGAGCTGAGAGGGCCTGCTAAGAAGCTTATGTGTCACCAGGGAATATTTGAAAGATGAAAGAAATTGCATCTGGCTGGAGAGGCCGGAAGGGAAGAATAGAAGTCCCGGGGCAACCGGGAAGGAAACCCAATGGGGGAGGTGTGTGGCAGTGGGGAACTGTAGTTAAAATATGGAGAGTGGAAGGGAACGAGGAGGCTAAACTGGCCTTCCAGGGTATGAAGATGGCTTGAAGCTTCTATGGGTGGGGAAGACACTAGCACCCCAAATCATGGGTGTGAGCTTAGGCTCCAGCCCCCAAAGAGGAATAAAAAGTCTTCCTCCTCTAAGGACAGAAAGGACAACTTTTTTTTGAGATGGAATCTCGCTCTGTCATCCAGGCTGGAGTGCAGTGGTGTCATCTTGACGGGGTTCAAGTGATTCTCCTGCCTCAGCCTCCCGAGTAGCTGGGATAACAGGCATCCAGCACCACCCCTGGCTAATTTTTGTATTTTTAGTAGAGCTGGGGGGTTTCACCATGTTGGCCAGGCTGGTCTCAAGCTCTTGACCTTGTGATGCACTTGCCTCGGCCTCCCAAAGTGCTGGGATTACAGAAGTGAGCCATCGCGCCCGGCCAGGAAGGACAACTTTTAACACTATAATGAGATGTCTTCTTGGCCCTCAGATAATCATTTGAGGGCAA